GTTGTAAGGAACCTTAGCAGCCATCTAGTTCAACCCATTCACAAAGGAATCCTCACTAAAGGTTCCCTGACAAGTATCTATCCTGCCTCTGCTTAAAGGCCTCCAAAGAGTGGGAAGCCACCATTTCTCTAGGCAGCCCATTCCACTTTTGTACAGCTTTTATTGTTAGTAAGTTTTGCCTGACATTGAGCCTTACAATTTCCACTCATTGCTTCTTGTTCTACCTTCTGGGACCAAAAGAACAAGGTTAATCCCTTCTCCATGTGACAGGCTTCCAAATAGTTGAAGATAGCAGTCAGTTCCCCCAGAGTTATTTTCTTCAGGCTAAACATTCCCAGTTAATCAATCTTCATATGTTATGGCCTCAAGGCCCTTTATCACTGTAGTTACCCTCCTCTGGATATTCTCCAGCTTATCAGTATCCTTAAATGTTGGTGACCAGAACAGTACACAATACTTCAGATCAATTCTGATGAGGGCAGCGTAGAGACGAATGATCACCTCCCCATTCCTGGAAGTCATATCTTTCTTTTTTTTTTTTTCTGCTTTGGCTAGGCAATGGGGTTAAATGACTTGCCCAGGGTCGCACAGTTAGTAAGTGTTATGTGTCTGAGGCCGCATTTGAACTCAGGTCCTCCTGAATACAGGGCTGGTGTTCTATCCACTGCGCTACTTGTCTGCCCCAAGTCATACCTTTCTTAATATAGCCCAAGAACTCATTAGCTTTTTCTTTTGGCTGCCACATCACATTACTGACTCACGCTGAGCTTGCAATCCACTGAAATCCCCACTTTTTTTTTTTTTAGAATACTAGCTATTTACCAATACCTCTTCTATCTTATACTTCTGAAGTTGGATTTTCTTTTGTACTTAATTAAATTATTTTACATTTATCTCTGTTATATTGTATCTTATTATATTCAGCCCAGTACTCTAGCATGTGAAGATCCTATACCTGTCAGATTAATTTTATCTGCAAACTTGATGAACATACCAACTATGACTTTATTAAGGCCACTGATAAAATATTAAACACCACAGGAACAAGCACAGATCCATAGAGTTACTCCACCAGAGACCTTCTGTCATGAGGACAATGAATCATTAACAACTTCTCTTTGCATTAAGCAGACAACCAGTGCTGAACCTATCTGATTATATCATTGCTTAATTTATATCTTTCCATCTTCTTTATAAGAATAATATGAGGATATTCTATTAAAAACTTTACTAAAATATAGTTAAACTACATCCACAACATCGCCCTCATCTACTAGTTTAGTAATTTTGTCAAAAAAGGAAATAAGGGAAATCTGGTTTGACCTCTTTTTGAAGCCACGTTGGCCCTTTATAATCAATTTTTGCCTTTCTAGTTTCTCTTTCAACCATCTCTTTAATGATCCATTCTGGAATTTTCCCAGGGAATAGAAGTTAAGCAGACTCTGTTCTCTTTCCTTTTAAGAAAATCAGAACACTTCCCCTTCTCTATTTTGTAGCTCTCCCATTATCCATTTTTCAACCAAATTTAGTATGGTATTTCATTAAATTTCATTAAATTAGGCATATTTCATTGTTTGAGAAATCTTGAACTTCTTTTGTAGGGAGTCTGATAGCAAGAATATCTCTGTTAGTGTCTTAGCAATCACATCTGCCAGTTCTTTCAGGACCAGAAAATGTAGTTCACCTGGGCCAGGAGACTCGAATTCATCAAAGGAAGTTAGGTGCTCTCTTGCTTTCTCCTTACTTATCTTGGATATCAACTCCCTGTCAGTCTTGTTTGTTCTGTCATTTCCAGGGTAAACGTGCTTCTCCTTTGCCGAGAAAACAGAAACAAAATCAGAATTAAGCTGCTCTGCCTTTTCTCTCCTGTCAGTTATCACTGTCCAAAGTGTTGCAAGGTCATCTCTCACCCTCCTTTTTACCCCCCTAATATGGCAAAAACAAACAAACAAAAACCACTTTTGTTTGTTCTCAGCCTCTCCTGCTGACCTGAACTAATTCTGTGGTTTAGTATTCCTTGCACAATTCTTATGAGACTGTGCCATACTCATCACATTCATCTTCTGGTATTTGGTCTTGTTTCCAACTTCTGTACGTTTCCTTCTAAAATCTAAGTTGGTTGGTACATCCACATTGGTTTCTTTAGATAATTCCCACTTTACTTCTTCATTGGAAGTTTCCTTTTTTGTCTTCAAAATTTCTTTCTCGAGCATCTCCTATCTCTCCTGACATATTTTATTCTATGAAATACTACATATCATTTCTCTGAACTCTTTGGAAATCTATTTTCCCCAAATTTAGTATTTAGATCATGCTCAGATTTCCTCTCTATCACTATCTAGAGTAGAGAGTTCCTTTCCTTCTAGGGTTCTCAAATTTCCATCCCAGCAACCAGTTCCTCCCTATTAGTAAGAAACAAATCCAAAATAACATTTCTCCTTTTTGCTTCCTCCACCTTTTGAAGGACGAAATGATCACAAAGACAAGTCAAGAAGTTATTACCTTCTCCACTATTGGTAGAGTTCTAACAAGCATCTGGATAATTGAGGTTTTCCATCACTACTACATCATGCTTCTGTGCCAAACTTGTGCTTTCTTTCTCACACTCCCCATCAATTTTTTTCTTTCTGTCTAGGTGATCTTTGGTATATTCCAATGGCAAAATCATTACTCCTCCCTCCTTAACCTATAACCCAAATAATCTTCATCCCATTGCTGCCTTCTTATTCCTATAGTTACCCAAAGTCACAATCTAGTTTTAATAAAGTATAAATTAGAATTTATGTGTCCTGATTCCAAGCCTAGTGCTTTTTCCAATACATCCAATACATCAGTGCCTCCAAAAGGATTCACTGTCTCAGTTCAATGACATTTATTAAGCACTTGCTTTGTACTAGGTGCTAAAAATACCAAGAAAAAAAAACATAACAATCTCTTCCTCGCAGAAGTTTGCATCATACAACAGGTGACGAGATAAATAAATAAGCAGTAATTTGAAGAAAGTGAGACCTATAATAGAGGTAGGTTGGGGTGGGGTGTAGATTAGGAAATCTTCAAGGAAGATGCAGTACCTGAGCTGAGCCTGAAAGTTAAGGATTCTGAAAGGGGAAGATGAGGAAGGGCATAGACATGAAAGTTGTTATGGAGGAAGAATTGAAAGTACTTGCCAACTAATTGGATTTGGGGATGAGGGAGAGGGAGAAAAGAGTCGAAGATAACTGCAAGGTTACAAAACTGGTTGATTGGAAAGGGTATCTAAAATAATCGGGTAGGAGGGAACAAGCATTTTTAAGCACCTGTTATGTGCCAGGCATTGTGCTAAGTGCTTTATAAATATTATTTCTAAATTTTCTTAGTTCACTTAAGAACATCTGATTTACAAAAATGCTGTTTACACACCACTTTTTGCAAACGTAAAATTAGGTATACCTATACCCATATAAAGACAGGTTCTGCTCTCAAGAAATTTTGTATCTGAAAATAGAAAAGGTACATACAGACAGGATATGATTTTTTAAAAAAAAGACTCCTTTGTTCACCAGTGGTCATTTCTCACTTCAACCAATCAATCAATAAAAATTCATTAAATGCCTACTATGTGCAAGGTGCTATGCTAAGTGTCTTACCTATTCAAGGGAAGAAATTCTTTTTAACTTTGTTCTTGGGGTATAGCTTTGCTCTTTACAATTCATATCCCCTGTTCCATAGTAAATAATTAAAGAATAACATGCCTTTTTAAAAAGGGATAACTAAGATATTATCTTTAAAAAAAATAATGTAGGTACACATTGACTAGGGGAACAGCTGAACAAATTATGGCATAACAATATAATGTAATATTATTGTGGCATATATAAAAGACAATAAATATGAAGGATTCAGAGAAATTTAGGAAGACTTATAGGGACTGATGCAAAGTCAATATAACTAAAAGAAAAATATACACAATGATCATATCAATATAAAAAAATAATATTTGATGACATGAGACCTCAGATCAATGCAATGAACATTTCTGAGTCCAGAGAACAGATTATGACACATACCTCCCCTCCTGGTAGAGAAGTAGTCAAATATAAATGCACAAAAAAGTACTGAATGCCCACATTTCCTAACAAATTAAAAATCTTGGGGGTACAAACTCCATAGAGGTAGGCAAATTACTAATTTATCAGTTAACAAGTCTAGCCTCATCCAATTTAATCTATCAATCCAATTCTATTAGATAAATATGCATTAGTTCTTCTCTGCTTTACCTTCAAGTTTTTTCAATCTCCAACAATTGAGGAAACAAAATCTTTTCTAGTTGTTATTGGGCATAACCCCTAATTCTGGCACAAACTGCATTTCTTCATTTTCTGATACCCTAAACCCATTGCTCTAATGCAATTTGGTTCCCATGGTCACAAATCTCTTGAAGCAAACTGTAAACTTTTGACCTAAGTCAGCTTTCATTAGCTGCAGCTGTTCTCTGTTAATCAAGAGATTTTGCTGTTCACTGAACTTTTCCCTCAGTTCTTACACTAACACTGCCATTTTTCCTTTCACACTTTCCCCTCCCTCACCTTTAGTAACAAGGCTTCTGTTCAGTTTCACCCAAATATGGATTTTTACGTACAGAGCAACTGCATTTTTGAGATCATAAATCCATCTACTTATCTAAGTCAGCTCTTGTCTAGTACAAAGGCAGGTTACAATAATGATCTTTCTATAATTTGGGAGTTAAGTTGTTCATCACATAGGGTCAGCAATAACTTGTACTCTAGCTTTTGTATCATCTGCCCATCTATTTCCCATGGATACTTTCTCATTTCTCTGATCTTTCTTCAACATTTTCTGGCTCACTATTCCCTTATATTTTCAGGACTAGTTCCTCTTTGTCTTACCTCTTGGAATTGTGAACAGGGGCTACTTCAGCATTTCTCTCTGTAAATTATTAAAAACAACACCACCACCACCAAAACCAAAACCATAGCTTTTGTGACAGTCAGGATACTCACTTGGAAGCCTGAATCCACTCTTCATACAGTTCAAAGGTCATGAGAGGTTCTGGCAACTCTCTGAGATAAGACTTTAGAGCTCCTGGACATGAACAAATTATTTACCATCATCAATTATGTCTAGAAAGAGGAAGGCATAAGAGGTTGTTTATATAAATCTAGAAGTTGGCTCTCGGAAGGCTTGGATTAAGAACACTGAGTATAGTACTTGGGCATTACATCGAGTGTGGATGCCTGTTGCTTCTCTTTCACAAACATTCTTAGACAAGACATGCTAGACAAAACAAAGAACTGATTTTTTTTTTTGTCTTGATCCTTTTTCATGGTTTGACTTGGAACTGGGTATACTGCCCTTGGATATCTCAAAGGCATGATGGGAATTCATTGGTTTTAGTGTCCCAGACACACCTACCTTAAAGGTCTACTCAGGCCCTTTCCTGAAAATCCCTGTCTAACTCAGCCACATGACAACCAGGTAACTCCACTACCTGCAATGGCATGAGGGTCAGCTGAGTATTCCTGCACATCCAGTACACAACAGTCCAAAGCAGCTTTCAGTTTTTTCAGTTTAGAAGCAGAGGGAGCCACTCTAAAAAGGCCCTGCCAGAAAGATAGAAAAAAGTAAAAGTATTAATAAGAGCAGATTATGCAGATTAGAAGCTGAAAGAAAAGTCATACCACACAAACTCTCATACTTCTTTTCATGGAAAGTTTATATTAAAGGAAAATGTTATTCTGAAATTTTGGAAGGTTGGAAAATAAAGCATGAGTTATAGTGGCTGTCAGCCAAACTTTGTACTCTCAGGGTAAGGATAGACAGATGATAATTTTAGGAAGATAGCCCTCTTTGTATCCAGGATATCTGTTCTAAATCTGTTTTCTATAACCATAAAACTTACTGATACCCTCTGACCCTTAGAGTGTGAGCTGGAGCACATCCAAGAGACCTTTAGAATGGAGAAGAGAATTAGAAGGGAGTTGAGTCTGAAGGAGTGGAGGGATAATTAAGGAGAGAATTGGAGAGGAGCCTCCAAAGCAAGTTAAGAGCTAGAAAGGAGGTTGGTTAAGTATCTTTCGGATACCAATTCACTCTGTTCCCCTTTTTGTTCTGTAATACTAGGGAACCAACTCTATGTAGTCTTATAAGGAAGAGAGTTAGGTCTTCTTTATTACACTCATGGAAGAGCCAAATTCACATCTCCTGGGAGTGACTCAAAATGGCAATGATTTCTCTGTTCACCTTGACTTCTCTGCTAGGTATGACATTGTTAACCAGCTCCCCTTCTTAAAATTCTCTCCTCCTTTAGTTTCTAAACATTGTATTAGCCTTCTTCTCAACCTGTCTCTCCAACTGTACCTTTTTTGTTTACTTCAAATGCTCCTCTATGACCACCTATCTCCTAAAAAATGTGTGTTTCTCAAGGCCCAGTCCTTGGTCTTCTGGTCTTCTCTCTTTATATCATGTCCTACATACTATGTGTTGGAAAAAACCAGACTGGTCTGGTTGGTCTCAGGGAAGAGAATTAGGCGCAATTGTTGGAAGCTAGAGGCAACTTTAAGTTTGATGGAAAAAAATTCTTAATAATTAGAACTACTGAGAAGTGAAATGATTTAGATCATGAAGTTTTCTCTTACTTGAAGTATTTAAACAAAGGCTTATTGACCACTTGCCAGTATCACTGTTGAGGTGATTTCTGTTCATTTATGGTTTGGATTAAATGACTTCCGAGGTTTCTTACAATTCTGAGATTCTGTGATCTTGAATTTGAGATGCCATTACACCATTCAGGAGGAAGCTGTTGATGCAGGACAGGAGTTCAGGAGAAAGGTTTAAAACAGGGTATATAAATTTGATAGTCATCTACATGGAGATGATGAAACAGCTCATGGAAGCAGATTAGAAAGAGAAGTTGTATAAGACAGAAGAAAAAAGGGACTAGGATAGACCTTGCAGAAGATGGATGATGATCAAGTAAAACCGAGGAGCAGTAAGACAGAGAGGCAAGAGCAGGAGGGGGCAGCATCAAGGAAACCAAGTTAGAAGAGTATGCTAGAGTGGAGATGACTAATTCAATTAAACTCAATAAGCCTTTATTGAGTTTCTATATGTTAGGTTCTGGGGATACACAAAACAAAAATAAAACCTTTCCTGCCCTCTGCTGAGCCAACATAAAAGGTTTCAGAAAGGTCAAAAGAAGATGAAGACTGAGTAAAAGGTCATCGGGTTTAGCAGTAAAGAGGTAACATTGGATAGTAGTGGAGTCAGAAGACAGATTGCAAGAGACTGAGAAGTGAGTGAGAAGTGGGGTTGTAAATTCATGAATACACATAATCTTTTCTAAGTTTGGCTATAAAAGAGAGAAATGGGAAAATAAGTTATGCAATGTCGAAATTAAGTGAAGGTTTGTTAAGGATAAGGAGATTAGGGCATATTTGTAGGTAGAAGAAAAAAATTAATAGTTAAAAGAGATTGGGTCACATGAGGAAAAATATAGAAGATAGACATTTTCTCTGATCTCTATGATCTCTCAAACTTCTTCAAAATAGAAATTATATGCTAAAGATAAAGAAACTTCAGCTGACTACATTGAGAATCTTAAAGGTTAAAAATAACATCTGAGCTGGTACTTACTGATCCTAAGGTCACTCAGCACCTCCCATCAACAAGGCTGCCTGCCCTATCTAGCTCAAGGACACAAAAAGGACTTACATACAACAAAACTCACTGCTATATCCTCCTCCCTCTTTCCAGTACTGTGGAGACTCCGGCCCTAGGATGTGGAAGTTTGTTTGAACTGTAACAACCAGCTTGACCATAGTCATTCAGGAAAAAAGCCTGCTAGGGGCTGCAGCCCCATAGCACTAGCACTGTAAAACTACATACTGCCAGTGGTGGGGAAGATAGCATTGTAAAACTCTGAACTGCTGGTGCCAGGCCAAAGAATGAAGAAACAAATGGAATGGGACAGGCCACCAAGATGTGTGTGTGTGTGTGTGTGTGTGTGTGTGTGTGTGTGTGTGTGTGTATGAGAGAGAGAGAGAGAAAAACAGAGACAAAGACAGAGAGAGGCAGAGACAGAGAGAGAGAGAGACAGAGAGAGAGAGGGATAGGAGGAGAGAGAGGGAGGAAAAGAGAAGGGGAGAGAGAAAGAGAGAGAGACAGAGAGAGAGAGAGGGAGAGAGAGAGTGACTATATTACAATATGGGAAGGTAGAGTGAAAGGAACAAGGGGATAAAAGGAGTGTGTGATACACTGCAATCAAATGAAAGGCTCAAATGACTGGAGGGCAACGTTGGTGGTTTCAGAAAGAGAAGACTATGTAAGGGAAGAGGGTAAGAAGAAGAGGGAAAGGATTTTAAAGGGAAAAAATGAAAGAGGCCTTACTTTGGCGGTGGGAGGGGTTTCCATTGTTGAATTCTCCTATGGGTGAGGAGTAAAGGTCTATGAAGGGTGATAGGGACCCTACACTGGGTGTGGCTTGGAAGATTTGTTGCTTGAAAGTCTACTTGCCCTGCGTTGGGAGGGGGGAGTTGGGACTCCTGTAGACAACTGGCACCCAGAAGAGTGGGAGAACATAGACAGAGAAAAACTTTCAAAGTAAAAGTGAAAAAAAGGTAACCAGGAATGGTTATAGATCAGTGGTGGATTGCAAAATCAGGCATATGGTGGGGGAGGGGCCCTACCATGGGGCAGTGTCCTCTCTGAGATCTGTAATAATTGGCATTGTTCTATGAGGCACAATCAAAAAGGGGATACATGGAAAGCTCTACGAGGAAATGGCAGAAAAAGCCTAGAAAGAATACCTTGGAAACTTTGATGGCAAGGTGAAACAGAGAAAAGAGAAAGACCAGATAATTATAGGGGTCATGGATCAGAGAATGAAGGTCTAGAGTAGACAGAAAAAGAAGATGTTTAGTGAAGAGTGAGAAAATCATTTTTGGAAAGAAGTGCCAAAAAAAAAGAAAGAAATTTAAAACACTGATAAACAGGACTAGCTAAAGGGGAGGAGAGGAAGAGAGAATCTACTTGACTAATTAGAAGAAGAGGGAAGAAATACATAACCAAATAAAAATAGGAGAGGAAAAGGAACTAATAAAAAAATCCCTAAAGGAAGTGAAATGAGAAGAAGGGATCAAGGGTGAGGGAAAGAAAACCAATGGAAAGAGGACCATTTTAAAAAAATTAAAGTAACAGAAGAAATACAATACTACATTTATAGAAGAGGGAAAAATCATAACTTGAAAAAAAATTTAGATACAGATGAAGAAAAATGTAAACCTAACATAACTTTAAATGTGAATAGATTACATAATACCAATAAAATGAAAAGGAGTGACTAATTGAATATAAAAACAAAGCCCTATAACCTGGTGCTTTCAAGAAGCACTTTTAAAAAAGCAAAGCCAAAAACAAAATGAAACTTAGGGAATTAAAAAAAATTTGCTATGCATCAAGCGAATTCAGAAGAACAGAAGTTGCCATCATGCTATGAAACAAAGCAAAAATAAACCTTCAAAAAATAAAAAAGGGATAAACAAGCAAACTATATTATGCAGAAAGGAACTGTAGAAAAAAACCCAATATTAGTAATAAACTTATAAACTCCAAATGCCTTAGCATACAAGTTCATAAAGTAAATATTGTCTGAGCTTCAAGAAGACCTATCTGTCTGTCTGTCTATCTATCTATCTATCTATCTATCCCTCTTTAAGTTTTCGATAAGTCTAACAGACAAACAGGAAAAATAAAGAACTGAAAAAACGCTGGAGAAAATAGTTAAAAGACTTATGGTTTCTTCTAAATGGGACATATTTCTTTGCACTACAAGAAACTTTTACAAAAATTGACCATGGACTAGAGCACAGAAATAATGTGAACAAGTGCAAAAAGACTATAAGCTATTAAGAATAGAAATTGGTTCAAGGACCACCAAAAAAGATACAGACCCAAATGGAGATGCAACAATAAGATCTTAAATAACAAGTAGGTCAAAAAACAAATCATAGAAACAATTAATATTTATGTAAAAATAATTATGAAACAACAAACAAAATTTCTGGAACACAGCTAAAACAGTCCTTAGAGAGAAAAATGTTTCCTCACAAACATATATAAACAAAATAGAAAAAGAGTATTAACCGAATATACATTTTTTAAAAACTAGAAAATAAACAAATAAAACTAAAATAAGCAGAAGAGGGGAAATAAATTTCAAACAAAAACCTCACAGAAATGATAGGTAAAACTAAAAGAGGGTTCTTTGAAAAGACTAATGGAATTAATAGCTAATCTCATTAAAAAGAAGCAAGCAGAAAATCAAATCAATAAAATAGTAAAAAGTGAATTCACAGTAAAACCAGAAGAAAAAATATAAAAAATAATCAATACATATACACAGTTATACATTAACAAAAAGGAAAACACAAAAGAAATAGAGGAATATCTTCAAAAATATAAAATACTCAAACTATCAGAAGACCAGATAGAGTTTTTGATAACCTGATCTCAGGAAAGGAAATAGATTTAGCTGTAAAGGAGACCAAAGGAAAATAAAAACTCCTACTCAGAAGGATTCACAAGAGAATTCTATCAAACTTTTAAAGAATAGTTAGTACAGCCTACTTCAAAATTCTCAAAAACTAAGAAAGAAAGCATTCTACCAGAATCTTCCTATGAGAAAAATATAGTCCAAATCCTGAAACCAGGGACAGAAAGAAAATTACAGACCAATATTATTAATGAATGTTGACTCAAATATTTTAAACAAAATCATATCAAACCAACTACAGTGATTTATTCATAAAATAATTCATTATGATCAAGGGGGATTTAAACCAGGGAGTGCAAGGATGATTTGATGTGAGGAAAACAATCAACATAATTACATTAAAAACCAAAACACTGAAAACTGCGTGATTATCTCAACAGAAGCAGAAAAAGTCTTTTACAAAGTACAACACTCTTTTATGCTCAAAACACACACACAACCCTTCAAATTATAGGCCTTTCTTTAACATCATTAAAAAAAACTATTTAAAATAAAAATCAAATATCACGCGCAATGGGGACACATGAGAACCTTTCCCAATAAATATGGAAGTAAAGCAAGGATGCCCACCCTCCCCACTATTATTTTTTATAGTTCTGGATATCCTAACAATAGCAATAGGGGAAAAGAAAGGAATTAAAGGAATAAAGATAGGTAAAGAGGAGATATCCCTGTTTGTTGACTATACAATGACTTAGAAAACCCTAGGAAATCAGCAAAGATGAGAAAATAGCTTCAGTAAAGTTTCAGCTTACAAAATGAATTTACAAAAACCACTAGCATTATATATATAATGATAACAAAATACAAGAAACAAAATTTGAAAGGGAAATCCCATTCCAAACAATTCCAAAATATCTTGGGATCAACCTCCCAAAGTACACAAAAGATTTTTATAAATTCAACTAAAAAACACTTCTTATAGAAATAAAGAAAAAATTAAAAAGCTAAAGGAATATCTAGTGCTCATGGCTAGAGGTTGACAATATAATAAAACCAAAATCAATTTACATTTTAATGCTATATCAATTAAATTAGATACTTTATACAACTTGACAAGATAATAAAATTCATTTGGAAAAACAAAAGATTTACAATATTAAGGGAAATGATGAAAAGAAGCATGAAGGGGGAATAATACTTCCAGACCTCAAGCTATATTATAAAGCAATAGTCATGAGATAGTCACTGGTATTGGTTAAAGAATAAAGGGATAGATCAATGGAACAGATCAGATAAGGAAGATTCAGAAACAACAAAACTCAATAACCTAGTGTTTGATAAAATGGAAAAAAAAAAGAAATTACCTGGGGAAAAAACTTCATATTTGATAAAAACTGCTGGGACAATCAGAAAATAGTCTGGCAAAAATTAGGCATAGACCAACACCTTCCACCACACTCCACAATACATTCTAAATGGATATGCAACCTTAATATTAAACCATACTTTAAAGTGGCCAAATGGGGGAAAAACTTTCAAATTTCTTTGATGAGGGTTTAGTATCCAAGATAGACAAACAATTAAACATACATAAGACTAATAGTCATTCCCCAATAGATAAATGGTCAAAGGATATAAACAAATAGATCTCCAAAGAATTGTAAAGTATTAATAACCACAACAAAAAATGCTCCAAATCAATAATAATAAAAGAAAGGCAAATCAAAACAACTTTACAAAAATGACAAAAAATGGTAATAGTTGATACATCATTGGTAGAGTTGTGAATGGCACAACCAGTTTGGAAAGCAGTTTGGAATTATACAAATAAAGTGACTGAAATGTCCATATCTTTTGAACCAGACAGCCCATTCCTGGATTTATACCCAAAAGATACTACTGATAAGAAAAAAGTCCCCATATACTCCAAAATATTTACAGAAGCACTTTTGGTTATGGCTAAGAATTAGAAACAGATTAGACACTCATCAATTGGGGAATGGCTAAACAAATTAAACATGAATATAATGGAATATACTCTGCTGTAAGAAATGATATATGTGATGAAGACAGAGAAGCATGAAAGGATCTATATGAACTGATGCAGAATGAAGTACCACAACAATGTAAATGGAAAGAACGATACACCAAAAAAACATACATAAATTTAACAAAATTATAAAGATCAAAAAAGGACTCCATTCAAAATATACGAAAAGATACTGCCAATGTGCTACCCCTTCATTGAAGTAGGAGAGCCACGAGTATTACACATTGCATACTAGATAAGAAAGAAATAAAGAGGCTTATCAGTGGAACAGATTAGGTACATAATATACAGAAGTCAATGAGTATAGTAGCCTGGTGTTTGGTAAACCCAAAGATTTCTACTATTGGAGTAAAAACTGATTACTTGGCAAAAACTGTTAAGAAAATCACAAAGTATTCTAGCAGAAACTAGATATGTACCTAACACCTCAGACTATATTACCAAGATAAACTCCAAATGGAGACATTATATGTCATTGAATGTCATAAAGGGTGATATAAATAAATTAGAAGAGCAAGGAGGAAATTAACTCTAAGATCAATGGATAGGGATAGAATATATGATCAAACAAGGGATAGAGAAGAACACAGAAGGCAAAATGTACAACTTTGAGAAACACGTAAATTAGGGTGAAAATCTTTGAGCATATTTCTCTGATAAAGATCTCATTTCTAAGATATATAGAGAATTAATTTAAATTTATAAGAATAAGAGCCATTCAACAACTGATAAATGGTCAAAGAGTATGAATAGGCAGTTTTCAGAGAAAGAAAAATAAGCAACTAATAGCCATATAGTGATTTAAATAATTAATAATTAGAAAAATGCACATTTAAACAACTCTGAGATTCTACCTCATATTCATTAAATTGGCAAAACTGACAAAAAGATAAATGATAAATACTGGAGGGGCTATGGGAAAATAGGTAAATTAATGCATTATTGTTGGAACCATGAACTGGTCTAGCCATTCCAGAAAGCAATTTGGAACTACGCCTCAACATTAATAAACTGTATATATCCTTTGACCATTACTTGGTCTATGCCCCAAAGTGATTAAAAAAAAAAAGATTTAAAAATAACCTATATGAACAAAAATATTTAATAATAGCTCTTTTTGTTGTGGCAAAGAATTGGAAACTAGTGGGGGGGTGGGGACCATCAACTGTGGAATGACTAAACAAATTAAAGCTTAAAGTTTAAGGATGTGATGGAATACTGTTTTGTTGCAAGAAACCTGGGAAAACTTGTATGAATTGATGCTGAGTGAAGTGAGTAGAACCCAGATAATTTCTAAAATAACAACAATTATGCAAAGACAAACAACTTTGAAAGATCAACAACTTTGATCAACAGAATGACCAACCATGATTCCAGAGGACTTATGATAATACATGCTAACCACCTCCTGATAGAGAGAAGAAGAACTCAGGGTGAAGATTGAGACCTTTTCTTTGGACATGGCCATTGTGGGGATTTGTTTTTCTTAACTATACATGCTTGTTTGTACAGATTTTTTTTCATTCTGACTAACTAGGGACGGGAGCTAGAAGGGAAATAAAATGAATTTTCACTGATTGCAAAAAAAATTTATTTTAAAGATAAAATAAAAAGAAAGGCAAGGGAGGGTAGGAACCAGGGAGGGACTGGGCTGAGATAGATGGAGATGAATGAATAGAACATAGTAATGGGGGAAGGATATTTTTCCCTTGGCAAAGCAACTTTGGATCACAATATGGGGGGTGGAAAGGATGAGAAATAATCTCTACTCTCATTCCAAATAGTTAGAAGGTAACTTTGGGTGTCAGAAACAAATTTATTATATTATCATTAATCATAAGTTTCTAATAAAATGCTCAAACTGATCCCTCTGCTGGTTCAAACCATTCTTCTTCAGTGTTTTAGAAAGAAAAGGCTGATAATACCAGAACCATGCATGTGAGCACCAGTCAACTGATATTTTTCCACATCAAACTCCCACCTTCTCCTTTAAGGATTTCTGTCATGAATAAGGACCAATTATGTACTTTTAGAATATCAGTTTGGGAGCTATGTGGAAGACAGATTGGAGAGGAGAGATGGGAGGCAGAGTCCAATTAGGAAACTATTTCAGAGGTACAACCCAGAGTTTGATACACACCCAGAAGATATTCTGCACACGGCTTCTATTAGGGTCTGATATCAGAGGTCCTAGTCTTAGACAGGGTCCTGGCAGTAAGAGGCCTTGTGTCTAGGGTCTTTAGTAGTTTTGGTGGGAAAGGGAGTTGTTGCATTTCTCTGATGGCTCAGGAAATTTGGGTGGTAGTGTCTTCAAATGAGGCAATAAGTTCCGGGGTGAAAGGGCCTACAATCTAGAACTTGAGAGTAGCTAAAGTTAGAGTCTGAAACTCCTAGGTCTAGTGATGGAGAAAGGAAGGAGAAGATGCTGGGGTAGGAATTTTGGTGTCAGCAGCAGTCTGTACTTAGGTTGCCATTTGAAGATAATGTTGCTCTCCTGGTCAAAAACCATTAATGATTCCCTCTTTCCTACTGAATTAAATTTAGCCCTAATGTTCTGTTTCATTGTCTCATAATCTTTTACACTAAACTCATTCCAGTTTCCATAGTTTGTTCTTGCTATTTTCTTTACTTGAAATATTATTTGTTATTTATTCAAAAGCATTTATTTGCCATCTACTTTGGGCAATAAAATATGCTAGTGAAGTAACGATGAATAAGATATAGTGTTTTCCCTCTAAGACTTCACAGTGTGGTAGGAGAAATGAGATAATTGGGGAAATACTTACTCTATACACAAAGGAAGTATATGATAAATGCTATAAAATTTGAGAGATACAGTATCACATCCAAGAATTTATGTTGGAAGAATTAGGAATATAAAGGGAAACAAGGTCATATAGAACTTTTTTCATGGAAAATCAGTCTCCTAAGATTGATATGAAAATGATGATGGGTCTGTAGCTGATGGATGCATGCACACCTACCTCCTCTTGCATTCCACATTCAAGAAGCATTGTCACACATGCTTCAATAGGGAATGCAATTTCCCTTCCACTGACTGCCAGGTGCTCCTCCAAGGGCTTCCCAAAGGATGGTTTTTCTACCCATGCCTCTGTTGTGGAAGCAAAATGAATATGACATTTGGTAAACCGATGGACAGGAAATTCTATGTCTCTTAAAAAAAAATCGAGGCTTTCCCAGCTACTACTTAATATCACAGGAACAAAAGGAGTTCTCATTTGTGCCTATTACCTGAAATTTGGTAACAGTGGACACTCAGATGGAATGTCCATTACTCTGGGCCAAGTATTGGCACAATCTACCAGGGCTTATTCTGATCTCTGAAATTCCATCCAACTCTATGATTCTATAGTTTTATATACCTCTAGTACATATATGCTTTGTTTCTATTAAGGGTAGATCAAATAATAGACTTATTTAATTGAGTGTCATCTTTAAAAAAGAGCAAAACATGGCACTTCCATATTAAAAGGCTGATGAGTATAACTGCAATGGCAATGGGGAATGTAGTCATTTCATCCTTGTCCAGATGACAAGAAAGAGTTGTTTGATTACTAGAAACTCTTTAATAGTAAAGGAAGCTTTACACTTACCCTGTTGTGCTTTTATCTGAGGCAAAACATTCTGCAATAGCGTTAGTGACTTCCTATGGTATTCTGCTTGCACTTCTATCAACTGAGAAGAAACAAAGTCAAATAATTCTTACTAAAGGTCCATTAGGTAGGAAGCAGGCTTCCATAAAGTACATTGTTCATCATTATGCTGGCTTAAGTTTAAACTTGCATGGGGAGCAGGGAGGGAAGTAAGAAATCAATCCTGCCACTCTATAATTTAATCTACTCCCTCCCCCATTGCCAATATCACCTAAAATAATACTCATGCTCCTGCTTCAGCCATTTTCTCTAATCAAGAGAGACACAAGTGACTCTAAAACTCAAAGTGGTAAGGATTATAGTGAAAATAAGAGGTTCATTCTACAAGTTAGAGCCTAATTTAAATAGCCATTTCTTTAGTACCTTGGTGAAAAGGGACAGCTATAGCACTTACCTCAAAGGCTGGTTGTGAAGATCAAGTAAAATAATGTACATAGTATACATATATAGTGCCTCTAAACTAGTATTATTATCCTACTTTACCACATTATCTCCCCCTGACAAAGGGGAAAAAATAAAAACCAAAACAAACATTTAAATATCTATTTATCATCTATCTATCTATCAAGCAATTGATCAATCTATCATCTGTCAGGAATACGTGGAAGAAAAAGGAATAGGTTATTGTGGAACAAAGAGGGGAAAGATATTCCCCAGACTTTAGAGCACTAGGAAAGGAAATGCTGGGAAACATGCTTGTTTACCATTTACGATTGGATGACTCAGGTTTCAACAATAGAATTTTGGCAAGACTGACTTAACTGCAGTGGGTGGGGAACCTTGAGGCTGATATGCAGCTTTCAGAAAGTATATCATGAATTGAAATTGCTCTGGCTACTGTGACGCAGCTGAGACAGAATCATTTCTTATCCCCTTCCCTTCCCTCTACCCTCAAGGTTACATAGGCTGCAGGACCTTTTAAGTTTTGTTCAAGTGAATAAAACATCGGTTAACTCATTTACTTTATAATATTTTGTCCCCAGGGCTTTTTCTTATTGTTTTAAGTAAAGTTCCCTATATATTTAACCCAACCAAGACTCAGTTATAGATACAATTCCATGTGTAACGTTTAGGCATTTTGAATTGAACAGAGGCTAAGATGACCTGTAGGATCTTTGAAAAAAACAAGGATAAGACAATCTCTTAGTACTCTGAGTATCAAAGGCATTCATAGATGACTATAAATTATCTAACATCTCAAAAGCAAAATTTTAAAACTTAAGTTATTTAAGCATACATATATAAAACTTTTAAAATTTTATGGAAAAAATAAAATCTCTACAGACGTAATCCAATCACTCTATCTATCTATCTATCTATCTATCTATCTATCTATCTATCTATCTATCTATCTATCTATCTATCTATCCTTCTTTTTCCCAGACCTCTCATGGTTTGGAAATTCTCTTTACTGATACAAGTCAGCAATTAGTCTATAACTCAGTCTTAAATGGTAGTTTGACACTACGAAAGTAGTTTGCCCTTACTCAATCAACTAATATGTATTGGGAGTCAGGTTTTCAAACTAGACCTTCTTGTCTTCAAGGCTAGCCCTCCATCCACCACAATCAAACCATAAGCATTTTTATTAAACACCTACCAAGTACCAGGATGCCAGGTAGGCCTTCAGGTACTGCCAGGGAATAAAGAACTAAAGGAAAAATTAAGGTTTTGAACAACAGTAACAAAAGATATTAACTCACTTTGATGTCTAGTGTTCAAATGAATCTGTGATCTCATTGATTTGGAAACTCTTAATGATGCAGTTCATAACCCAACCATGTCTACCCATTGTGGACCCTTCCATACTTTTCTCTTTAACCTTCACATTACAAAATAATATTACCACAGCATTTTAGTCTCAAGTCCTTGGTCTAATTTAAATGAGAAACCTTATCAACCAGTTCTGAAACATATGCAGCACATTTCCCCTACCAGCTGCTCTGTTTGGTTTCTAATCCACAAACATCATGGCCCAAGGCAGAGTAGTCTCTGGCGCCGTTCCCTCCCCCCAAACCCTTACTTCAGCTTCCTTTTTTTGTAGTCTTCTCCCATAAGATTATAATCTCTTAGAGGGCAGGGATTGTCTTTCTTTTTCTTATTTGTATCCCCAGCACTTAGTGCCTGCAAATAATGAAGGTTTAATAAAAATTTACTGACTATTAATGAAATCTTTTTATAGGCCCTTTTAATGAGGGGATGACTAGTTTCTAAAAGGAGAGCCCTGATCAAGTCAGAAAGGACTCCTCCTGAGAAATTGATTAGGTAAATGGTCAGACTAAGAGAAGGAAGAACATCTTCGATTATTTAAATTAATGGAAATATCTCTTAAGTTCATAGAGATGGTACAAATAGCAATCTTTGGAGAGAGTATCAAGGAGAGATTGAATAGTTTTAGAACATGATTATCCAGGGTACATCTGAAATTTGAGTGACTATTGTTCTACTTAATGATTCAATACAGGTTTACTTTGTCTTCTTGTTTAATCTTTATGACAGCATTTTGTCTTGTTTTGGGGATACTATAAATTGTAAGTGGAAATGGCTGATAATATATTTTCAAATGCAGGAGGGATTTCTGTCCTTTTCTATTTTTTATTTAAGCAGAGGTGCCCAGAATTATTTAACTATTAAATTTACATCTGGTAGATTTGTGCCTAAAATTTAGTACAGAAATTCTCTCTTACACCATCCTGTGTGACACTTATCCTCTCATAAATTCACCAAAGGGACCTACCCAATGTGGGCCAAAATGTGCTAAAAGCCTTACCTCACTTTCTCCATATATGATGGAGCACTCTGCTATCCATTTATCATCCTTTACCCTCACCACCTGACCATTCTATCATTTCTTCCTATTATAAATTTCTTTGATAACATCTTTTACCCCTATTCTGTTCTCTGAAGTTCCTTATTGGTTATGTATTACAAGTTACTCACACCAGCATGTTCCCTTCATTGTCCTTTGAGTGATATTCTTTAGAAATTCTTCATAGACTATTGTAATCTATGCTTCAATATGGTAGAATATTGGTATTAAAAAGAATAGGCCAGGGCAGCTAGGTGGCACAGTGGATAGAGCACTGGTCTCAGACACTTACTAGCTATGTGACTCTGCGCAAGTCACTTAAACTTGATTGCCTCCAAACAAAACAAAACAAAACCCAGAATAGGCCTTTGTTTCCACTGGAAGCTTGGGGATCATTAAAATAACTTGTCAATTTTCTGAAGACGATCAAGCCCATTCTTACTCCAACTCAGTTCTGGGCTTAACTCATTGTCCAGAGTCTATCTTAGATATAGACTGATGAATGAGCTCTACAGGAGGTTGTGCATCTAAAACCATGTTGAAATCTTGGCAACAGACATTCTTCATTCACTTTGTATTTCTTGTGTGAGGACAATTTCTTTTGAATGACTACAAATCTCTTCTAAAAAGCTCTGCATTATTCCAGAGCTTAATGTAACCAACACAATGCCATTTGCAAACAGGATCATCTATAGGACCTCACTATCTGTAGAGAAGCCCTCTTCAACTTGTACTTTGCACTGAATCTTTTTTAATACAATAGCAAACACTATTGAAAAGCATACATTTTTCCTGTTTTATATCTTGCCTGATGTTTATGATCAGAGGGTTATTAAAGAGTATTTATTATTTCTTTCAAAGAAACTTGAAAGATATTGATATATAGATGGAAGATTGTTGGAAAAGACCCTTTAAGGCTTTGTTTTGCTCTGCATAATCAAATGCTTTTTCACAATCACCAGACAATAAGCAATAGGATCTTGTATTTTCTATATCTACATTTCCTTTCAGTAAATTGTGAAGTGGGAAGAATGTGATATATCACTGTAAATTTTCAGTGTAAATTTTACCTCCTTTATAAGCATAATCATGATAGTTCATGCACTGTTCCAGTGTGGTTAGTTACATTTTTCTTAATGATAAAAAGTTTATTACAGTAATCTTTATAGAGATTTTCCATTTTTCTTCCATTTGTTGCCTTCCTTCCATTTTCATCCTTAACTGATGTTCTGTGACTTAAGTGGAGCTCCTGGAAAACTTTTTTAAAGTTGATATTACTCTTTACTGCTTCTTTTTCTTTCTTTCTTTCTTTCTTTCTTTCTTTCTTACTTTCTCTTTCTTTTTTTTGTATTTTATACTTCCCCAGTTACATGTAAAAACAATTTTTAACATTTGTTTTTTAAAACTTTGAGTTCCAAATTCTTTCCCTTTTTCTCTCCCCATCCCACCCCACCCTCATTGAGAAGGCAAGCAATTTGATATTGGTGTTACATGTGTAGTAGTGCAAAACATCCATAATAGTCATGACTATTATGAAATTACAAAACACAGAACAAAAAAACTCGAGAAAAATAAAGTTAAAAAAAAAGTATGCTTCAATCTGTATTCTGACACCATCAGTTCTTTCTCTGGGGATGGATAGCATTTTTCATCATAAGTCCTTCAGAGTTGTCTGAGATTGCTGTATTGCTAAGAATAGCTAAGTCATTCACAGGCAATCATCTTACAATATTGCTGTTACTTTGTACACAGTACATTTCACTTTGCAAGTCTTTCCAGGTTTTTCTGTGAGCATCCTGCTCATCATTTCTTATAGTAGAATAGTATTCCATCATAATCAAATACTACAACTTGTTCAGCCATTCCTTTGAGGCATCCCCTCAACTTCTCATACTTCACCCCCAGAAAAGAGCTGCTATAAATATTTTTGTAAATGTAGCTTCTTTTCCTTTTTTTTTTCAATATCTTCTGGGATCCAGACCTAGTAGTGGTATTGCTAGGTCAAAGGATATGCCTGGTTTTATAGCCTTTTGGGCATAATTCCAAATTGCTCTACAGAATGGTTGAATCAGTTCACAACTCCACCAACAGCGCATTAATGTCTCTTTTCCCCCACATCCTCTCCAATATTTGTCATTTACCTTTTCTCTCCTATTAGCCAATCTCATAGTATGAGGTAGTACCTCAGAATTGTTTTAATTTGCATTTCTCCAATCAAGAGTGAGTTAGAATATTTTTTCATATGGCTATAGATAGCTTTGATTACTTCATCTGAAAACTGATTATGCCTTTTGATCATTTTTTAACTGGGAAATGGCTCTTAATTTTATAAATTTGACTCAGTTCTCTATATGTTTGAAAAATGAGGTCTTCATCAGAGAAAACTGCTTCAAAATTTTTTTTCAGTTACTATTGCTAAGTGTATTTCTCTCCATCCTATTCCCCCACCTCCATTTATTCTACTCTCTTTCTACTTTCACCCTGTCCCTCCTCAAAAGTGCTTTGCTTCTATCTCCTCCCCCAATATGCCTGCCCTTCTATCACCCTCCCCCCTTATTCCCAAGCTTCAGGGGTTTTGTGCTGCTGTTTTCAGAGATACTTCTAGGGACCTGTAAGTTTTCAGTTCTTCCAAGGTGGAATGATTTAAGCAGAGGTGTTTACTAGTCTCCTGGCCTGTGCTCTGGTTTGTGAATAGCCACAAGCACTCTTTTCTGCCCTGGAACTGTGAGGAGGGTCCCCCCTCCACTGTGGCTGCAAGCTCTGCTATGATCCTCCTCACCCTAAGACTGCCACCTAGGACTGTGACCGGGATCCAAGTATGAGCAAAGCAACGAAGTCCTGCTGCAGTGCTAGCCAAAAGACCCCTGTAATCTTCTGACCAGTTGTTTGATCCCCTTACTGTTTGTGGTCTGAGAGGTCTGGAAACTGTTACTGCTGCCAGTGATTCAGTTGCCCCGAGGCTTGCTCCAGGTTTGCTGGGGCCAGTCTGTAGTAGCATGGCTTGTGCTGGACTGTGCTCCTCTCTCATTCTGGTGCAACAGACCTTTCCTGCCGACCTTCCAAGTTGTCTTGGGCTGGAAATTTGTTTCACTCTGTCTTTTTGTGGGTTATACTTCTCTAGAATTTGTTTAGAGTCATTTTTAAAGGTATTTGGAGAGGTTTGGGGGACAGCTCAGGTAAGACCCTGCCTTTATTCCACCATCTTGGCCTACTGCTTCTTTCTATCAAACAATACTGCTCACCATTATTCATCCTTCCTCATAAGATTTTAAAAATGAGTTTATATTCTAAATTGATGCTGCCTTTGGCAACCATGTTTCTCTGACTGGTAAATGAAATATTTGCTGCAAAGGTGTTTTACGCACTCTTTTGGTCTTATGGCAATAAGATTTACAGTGGTTCCATATAAATATATATAATTCCATTTAAAATTGTGTTGATACAGTTACTGATGTCCATGGCCTCATCCTAATTACTAAGTTAAATAGTTCTGGATTGATCACTTTAATTATATACCACATTTTCTCTCATTATTATTCTTGCATTTTACTAATTTGGACAAGATGATTTAGGCTGCTGATTCAGAGATAATTTCTGCATCAATAACAAGTCTTTTCCTTTTAAAATATAATCTCTTTTATTTTTTGTAATATTATTAGTACTTGCCATGTCCAGCCAATTGTTTTCTTCAATAAAGTGTTCACAATAGAAAGATGTAAGGCTTCTATGAAGTCTACAAATCTGGCCTCTCATACTTTTCCCTAAATCATACTTTCTCATATATTTCTTATCTTGATTCTCACCCTTTCCATCTTTGCACTGATGTCACTAAGCATCAGAGTGCACTTTGCTTTAATTTGGAGGGTATTATTGAGTTCTTTGTAGAATCCTTTTACCTTTTTATCCTCAGCAACTGCTGTTGGTACATAAGGTTCAACTGTTTTCATGGCACAATATGAGACAAATGAATATTCTATGAAATAATCTTTATTGCAGCCTTTTGGGATATGATGAAACCTACGTCCCATCCTTCCACTTAACTATAACTTCTTTCTGGTCTCATTTATAACAATAATGTAAATATTGCTATAATTCAGCTTCTCCATTGGATGAAGATCTCACATTTAGAAATACCAATAAATTAAATAGATAAAATTAATAAAAATAAACTTAATGAAGTCTAAAAATCCTCTACCTCTATGCCAATGCCACTGGGAAACAGAAGAGACCACACAGGCCTGAGGGTTATTTTGGTTTTTCCTTTGTTTTACAGATTTCTATGCTAAAAAATCCATCACCAAGTAGCTAGTCTACTGGTGATAAACCTCTTCAATCTAAACTGAATTGGTCCTCAAAAGGAGATTTAAATTTGAATATGGCTAGGGTCACACTCAAAAGTCTGCCTCACTTGGTAGATCCTGACAAAGCTTGAAATCTTCTAGCATAGCTTTCAAGAACCCAGAGTTCTTGGGTTTATCACGAACCTAAGTCATGATAAAGCATTCAAGTAGGACTTTGTGGTTCCTATACAATTAAAAAAAAATTATAGAGCCTACTAAATCTTCTCGGGCTTATTTTCTTCTTCTGTCTATAAATTCTCACCTGTCCCAAATTAATATTTTCCTTCTTTTCTCATTTTCTTTTATCTTCTCTCTCTTCCTTTAAATCCATGAGAACTTCTTACTCTCTCCTCCTTACCCTCCCTATCTCGTCTTTGACTGGCCATAATGTGGAATCAAAGTTTATGCTTTGTTATTTACTATATTTATTGAATAAGGTATAATTTTTAAGTAATCAGGTAAAGTCAAATGTTTAATCTATTTTAACTCATGAAAGTGTATTAGTGTATTAAAAAAACTATAAATGGTGATCTTTTTCCCATTAGCATGTCAAAATGAGAATAGGAATATAGATTTGGTGTTAGGTGATTGATGATTCTTTTTTTATTCTTAGACATTTGGAGAAACCTTCATAAAATAACATTTTACATTAGGAGAACCTGAAGGCCTAATGTTTCATATTGTGACAAGATGATAACTGACATTTGAGTAAAACTTTTCAGTTTGCCAAGCACTTTATATACTTTATCTCTTTTGATCCTTCCAACAACCCTATGAAGTAGGTACTTCAGGTATTCTTCTTCTTATTTTATAGATGAGAAAACTGAAACTGAGAGAGGTGAAGTGACTTGCCTATGGTAATATAGCTAGAAAATATCTGAGGCAAGATTCAAACACAGGTCTTCCTAACTTCCACTCCAGTGTTCTATTATTTACTATGCCATGTTGCCTCTCATATAAATATAAGAAGTATACTTAGTGTGGAAGAGTCAAAGTCTCCATTTTTATCTTTTATTTCTATACTCCTAGTCTTGCTATAGTGATTCAAGAAATCATATTTCAAAATAATTCCACTTTTCTGGGTCTTACCATTTGAAAGTAGTTTGCATAGTCAATTTCTTTGGCCACAAAACTGTACATATCAGCTGACAGCTGGTCCTGTGGAGGGTAAAACGTCAAGTCAAGTTATGAATAGTCATGAAAACAACAGAGGACTAATCAAGTATAAGTGTTTCAACATGTGAGGCAGCAGAAAAGTGAAATGGAGGAGTCCTAATTTTCCTTAATCTTGTTAGATTACCTTGGGCATATTACAAATCTTTCATACATGTTTCATTTTGTCACAAAGGTCAGCACTGGGGAAAAAAGTATATAGGTTTAAAAGAAGCAAAGGAAAAGCTTTCTAAAATTTGAATTAGTTTAAAGTGGAATGGGGTTTAATGGATTCTGTGATTCTATCTGGTATTATCCATGCAAAGTAGAGAAACATACTTAGGTGAATCCAGAGCTTGTTAACTGACTATATGCAAAAAATAATTAATGGTTCAATGACAACTTAGATGGAAGTCTCTAGAGGAGTACCATGGCCTGTATAAAATTTTGATCAATAATCTATAGATGGCTAATTTAGCTAATTTCTATTTTCTTGTAATCACTCCCTCCATCCCTCTTATTCTAAACTACCCTCAGAGGTTGGAATTTGTTTTGCTTATAATTAATCCCTTTCTGAATTGACCCTCATTCTTATTCTCCCCTCTCTCCAAAACCAATTCCTTCCTGTTTCCCTAAAGAGTTGAATACATTTCTATACCAAACTTTGTGTTATCCACATTCTCATTGTCTTCTACTTGCACACCCCACTTATATAAGTTCCTCCCACTCCTTCCTCCTTCTTACCCAGTGTATTTATTTTTTCCTTTCTTATTTCTTCTTTTAAGAAAATCAAAACCTAACAAAACCACTTATAGGCCCTCCATCTTATTTCATTCCCTCTATGGCCACTGAAGACCTTACAGTTCTGAGGGAATACTTATTTGTTGTTGCACTATAGGAATGTGAACTCTTCATACATTTATAGAACTTTCTAATTGCTCAAATGTTTTTACGTTTCTATATTTCCCTTGATGCCTGCTTTTGCAATTCCAAGTTTCTGAGGTTTGGGCTTTTTAATCAGGATGCTTGGAAGTTCTCTATTTCATTAATGGTTCATTAGTTGCCCTATTCTAACAAATTCAGTTTTCTCATATATGTTATTCTTGTTTGTAAACTTACACTTTTTGCTTTTTGGAATAAAATATGCTAGGCTTTACTCTTCTTTTTGTTGGCAATTGCCAAGTCTTGTGCAATTCCAAATTTGCCTTCTGACTATAACGTGTAGGCAGTTTTCATCCATGATTTCCTGAAATATGGTATCTTGGCTACTTTTTGTGTCATGGTTGAAAAACCATGATTTTTTTTTTCTACTTGAACTGTTTTTTAGTTCTGCTGTTTTTGATATGATACCTTAATACCTTACACTTTTATTTCAGTCTTTGATTTTGTTTTAATATTTGTGTTTTCTTATAGAATCATTAACTTTTGTTGATTCCATTCTAATTTCCAAGGAGTCTTTAATTGGGTGAGGTATGGCTCTTAATGTACTAACATGTTAATTTTTTCCCTTTCTCAGTCTTTAGAATTCTTATTTCATTTATATATCTTTAAAACTGATTTCTTTCTTTCTTTCAGGAATTCCAGTTGACTTTGTGAATCACTTGAGGTCATTGTGGAGTTATTTTCTTCCTCTTTATTTGTTTATTAGGTCCAAGTTCTTTATTGCCAGTTCCATTTTTTGTTAAATTTCTTTCAGTCTTCACCTTCTGAACTGGAAAATTTATTTTAGGGCCAGGCTCTACACATTTCTGGTGGGAATTTTTAGGTCTTTTTTTTGGTCCTAATCTGTATTATTTGGTATCTTACTGCTGCTTTCTCTGAGTACCGAAATCAATAATGAAATCAGGGGCACCTCAAGCCGGGGAACTATAAACTTTCAATGGGTCCTAAGCAGTATAATCTATGGCATGTACTGATCACTGCCCTACTTGTCTCATAATTATAGTATCTGACTCTAGTTTAAGCCTTGGAGACATAATTGTACATTTCCCCTTGCTTGGAGCTCAGTAAACTACTGCTGGCCCCATTCTCTGTCAGCTGCCTAGAAGGTTCAGAGGGCAGAACTGTGGATTTGCCCCTGGTCCCAGATTCCTGCCCTGGTTACTCATCTGTAGGTCCTACCTCCAATCTTTGAGCTAAAGCTGAGATAATGTTCTGGGGTCAGAATAATGAGATACAAATTCACCTCTGGTCCACAATCACTGCCTTGATACATAGCTCCAGGTTCCAGCTCATAGGTGCATTAGAACCCTAGTTTATCCACATATCAGCTTTGTGCAGAGAGAGCCTACTTTGTCTTTTTTGCCTACTCCCTGCCTCAGTGCTGCAGGCCCAAGACACTGTTCATGCTAGATAAAGCATTCTTTTCTAGAGTCAGATGAATATAGCTGCCAAATGTTTCCTATTCCTGCTACCTGCCTTGGTACTACAAGCCATAGCCTTCTGAGATCCCCCTGGATCTCAGAGTGACACTGCTGCTGGTTCACCATTGTACTGACTGAAGGCCCCAGCCTAGGTCTTTTTGCCTGAATCTCCTATCCAGCATCCACAGGCTTCTGGGTATCTTCATATACTAATCTGAATTGGAAAAATGAACTACTATGATTTTTCCTGATCATCACTCCATCTGGTGCTTTACCACAATCTTTACTGGAGTAGCTGTGGGGGAAAGCTTGATTATATGGCTTCTGCTTATTGCATCATCTTTGCTGGTCTCTTTCCACAATAATTAATAATCATGCCTTCCAATTCTTGCTAGCAATATTATTTGACAATTCTTTTAGTAGCCGAAGTTCATCTGGGCCTGGTGACTTGAATATGTAGATGCTTTTTTATTACTATGGTAGTTACTTTGGGTAACAAATTCCTATTAGTTATTTTGGTTATGTCCCTTTCAGATCAAAAGTCATTCTCCTGTCTTCAAGGAGCTTATCTTCTGCTAGGGGATATAATAGGTAAAGATATAAGTAAATATAACATAATTTGACTTGGGAGAGAGCACTAAAAATTAAATGGTTTAAGGAGAGGCTACCTATAGGACATGGCACATGAGCTGAGCCTTGAAGAATGATAGGTTCTAAAAGGCACAGGTAAAGGAGTGCTTTCCAGGCATGGATGACAGCCTGCACAAAAGAGATGGAATATTTGATTCTAGGGAATAGAAAGGAGATCATTTTGCCTGTAACACAGAGTATGTTAAGGGGAAGTATTGTGAGATAAATCTAGAAAGGTGAACTAGAGCCAGATTGTGAAAGCAAGGCACAGAAAACAAAAACAAATAAGAGTACAGAAGTTCTGGCTTTTCCTCATTAATTACAATTGTTCCATAGACCAAAAGCAGTGGTTATTTCCTTGAGCACACTCTTTTCCCCAATTTCTTAATTTAATCTTTAGCTGTCATTAGATTTTTCTCACCAGTTTTAGCTCATTCTAAACTAATTCTAACTGGATAATATTTTCATTTAATCAACGTACTTTAATCAGCATTTAATATGGACAAGATAAGCTATAGCTAAAGCATATATAAGGCATTGTAAGCCAAGTATTACTTTTATTAAATAAAATTTCAAGCCAAAGCAGAAAGTCCTTTAATAAATATCATTTTAGGCAGCAGGGGATAAATGCTATTGATAATATCTACACTCCTAATTCAGTTAACACCTATGAAATTTCTATTGTTCCACTCCACACCTAGGGTGTATAGGTGCAATTATGAGACTAAAATTAGCATATTCCCCTTAAGTTAAGTCTAACATGTTTGATACTTTTCTGCTTTAGTAAGTTCTGGAAAGAAAGATGAGGGAATGTAGCCTTATGTGACTCAAGACAGGGATGTGTTATTTTCATTTTTAAGCATTGAAATCTTTGGCACTGAGACCAGCAATTGCCTTCCTTCAAGCTGGTGACAGATCATTAGCTGTTAGAGAATGTGAAAAAATTAAGAGACTGAAATTGATGGACAAGGATGAGTAATACTAAATATTAAAATTCCATTCTAATTTGCTAAGAAGGCTCGTATATAGCACCAATCATCTCCCACCTTCCACAAATATCCTAGTTTGTTCATTTAGCTGTTGCTTGTGACATGAGTAATTTACTTTTAAGTAAAGAATATATGGTCTTACAAAAAATGAGAGATTAAGATATTAAACAAACTGTCAACACACATTAACATATTTTTTATCTCAAGTACAACGATCATTTCTTAGAGATACAGATGCCTTTTAAAAATTAATAAGAAAGTAATGTGACCACATTAAGACTGGTATATTTAAAGATTCTTTATATCATAAATATATCAAATGTCAAATATAAGTAAGATGATGGGATATAAAACACAATGAGATATAAATATACTTAAGGAGATTTGTATGACATATCTAAATTGCTAATGATGTATACTTTTGTAACTGATCTGTTAATATAAAAACTAAAGGTAAAAATGATCATGATTGAAAAATGAGAAAGAATATAAACAGTAAAAGTAGAATAGGCAGGAAAGAAAAGAGAGCACTAATACTAGAATGAAGGATGAATAACAACAATTGGATAGATATTATATTATCTGTACTCCAAGAATACTGGCACTATTCTTGTTAGTCCAATGACATGTGAGTCACTAGGCTAATGAATTCTTTTCAATCTATCATTGCTTTCTAAGTAAAGAAAGAAGACTTGACAGGCTCACGTGAACTTAAGTGAATGAGCCTGATGGATATTCCAATAAAATTGGCTGTGGCTATGTGGCAAAGGGACTGTGCTTCCATACTTACTTTCTTTCTAGTTTTGTTTTCCATTTGTTGATCACTAATTCTACTCATCTCATGTTTGATGTAAGCTTGATTTTACTATGCTTATGTGACACTGTGTGATTTTATGTTTCTAAACACAATTCTAAACTCCCAGCTAGACCTTGGGAATAGCTATTTCAAATAACATAACTGAATACATTTGATACCATTCAATAATGTACTTGGGGAGGGGGGGAAGATTTTGAGCTGATAGAGAGTAAATTTTTCTAGACAGTAAGCTTTTCTACAAACATATACTGGACTATAGTATTCAATGAGTTTGGAAACATAAGTATCATGGTAATCTGAAAAAGAACATTTCCTCCATAAAAGTAAATAGTTTTACTCTCAGGAGTTAGTTTCTCAAAACTCCAGCACTTAAATTTGATGTAGTCTAGAAGATAATAAGAGATTAATAGTGCCTATAGTTTCCAATTAGGAAAGGGGATTGGTCAAACACAATAGCAGATGATAACCGAAAGACCAAACAGAAGTTTTTGAATATAAGGAGTCAGTTTGAATTACCTACTGCCAGAGTCCCCTATAAGAATTTGTGATAAAAGTTTTTTTTTGTTGTTGTTGTTTTTAATCTAGCACTGACAGGAGTATCAAAGTAAAGAAAGAACAACAAACATACTCTTTTCTTTTAACTTGCAGGAGGACTAATGGAAATAGTTTGCTATCTTCTAGCCCAGCACACTATCAAATTTCTTTCTCAGGATCCTAAAGACCTTTGATTTCCTATACTTCCAAAAGAATCACTAGGATCCAAGATCAAGAACAAGGGTTCTTAATCTTTTTTTGTCATGAACCCCTTTGACAATCTGATAAAGCTTTCGTCTCCTCAGAATAACGTTTTTCATTGTATAAAATATATAGGATTATGAAGGAAACCAATTATAACAAAATATAGATATCATAACATTAAAAAAAGTTCATGTACCCCAAGTTAAGAATCCTTGACAAGAATATACTAAAGAATTAGATGAGACGATACCTACAGATACTCTAAATTTCAGTTCAAAAGAAAGATGAATTTTTTTTTTTGTGCTATTAAGTCTCAGTTTCTTAGGCTGTGCCTTCAGGTAAGGGACAACATGAGGTCAAGGTAAGGGGCAGGTACCCTGCATATCTCCACTCGATTTGCGGCTTCCTCCATTTCTTCCCTGAGGGCATCAGCTTTGGCACCTGATGGCTGCAAGTTGCTGGACAAACCTGAAGATTTGGAGGTCTGCTGCCACCTTGTGGGAAACAAGAGAGAAAAAGAGAGGCATGAAGTAGGAATATGGTCCGAAATATACAGGGATTATGAGAAGAGCTGAATACCTGATGATAAGTATTACCCAAGAAGCTGCTGGCCAAGCCACAATGCTTCCCTGTTTTTAAAGCAAGAGGTAGAAATGTACAGTCAGGAGTTGGGGGATCAAGTCCTCGTAGCACTGGCACTAACGCTCTTCTGTTAGTTTTATCTTCAGAAAAACAAAGAATACTATTTTCTACCTCTCTCATGGAGAAGAATTTCAAAGAACCTGGCCAATTTGTGAATAATTTTAAATTACACAGGAAATATTTGACTTTAGAAAGAGCACCAGGATAACAATATCCTAAAAATTGAAAAAATATGCAACATTCACCTTTGCTATTAGTCTTAGAGCTCCATGGGTATGGCAGTTTAAGTGAATAAGATTTTTGCAAAAAATATACACAAAAATCCCATTCTAATGAAGTATATGCCAACAAAACAGTTGGTGGAAGTTTCAGAGACAAATTCAGGTTTGACTTCAGGAAAAACTTCCTAACAGATCTACTCCAAAATGGAATGGGCTTTCCTGGGAAGTAGTGAGTTTCCCCTCACTAGAGGTAGTCAAAGGCTGGATAATCATTTGTCACCTATATGGTTGAGAAAATTCTTGTACAGATATTATTTAGATTTGTATTTATCACCCCTTACCTCAGTTGTTGCAAGAGCCTCCTAATTAAGCTCCCTTCTAGTCCTTTCCTGTTTTAAGCCATCCTCTGCACAGCTCCAAAAGCAAACAAGAAACTTTTATAAAACTCTAAGAAACATAATTTATTTTTGTAAAATCAATAGAACTAGTAGAGGACTTTTCACTTTTTTCCCCTGAATAGATATGTAGGAAGGCTACTGCCTTCTGTACTTGTTCTCCATCTATAGCTTCTGGGGTAGCTGGTGTATACCATCTGATGATACATTCAATCAGCTCTCTTGCTCTTAAGCAACAGAGTCTACTTCTGAAAATTAGTATTTCTGCCTTTTCTGGCTTTTCACTGCCCTCCTCTTCACAGAATTTATCTGTTTTTATCTGAGGCCCCAGTATGGTCTCCATTGCCTTAATTTTGGAGCTCTTCATACCACTGAAGGAACTCATGAGGATTTTATCTACTGGAAACCAGAAAGGACCTTTCTCCTGTGGTTTGGGTCTTGTTCTCCTAAGGTGTGACTAACTCTAGGCCTCTCAATGAGCTGGTCACTCTCATAATTCAACAAGAATCAAGGGGAAACTGATAGTACCTATCAACTCAGCTCCCCAAATAGCTTTCTAAGTATGAGTCTGACTCTTCTGCTCAAGAATCTTCAGTGGCTCACTGTTATCTTTTGGATAAAGTATTAATACTTTAGAGCTTGCCCTTTAGAGCCCTTCACAATCTGGCTCCAGATTTCTTTTCCAGAATTTATTTTCTATTAATACGCTACCTTCCAAGTGGAAAAGGGTTATATGCACAGCATGACTTAACTATGTCTCATCATGTAGAAGAGGTTAGGGAACCTGCTCCTAGGAGAATTGTGACAAAGTGTAATGGAAGTGCCTTGGAGAAACTGTCGTCCATGTGTAGAAATTCTATAACTGCTTCTGGTCAGCTAATTATGTGATGATTAGGAGGCTTTGATTAGTCATTCTAAAAAGCCAGTCAGACTCATCTACTGTTTGATATTGCTTTGACCTGGCAGACAGAATCCAGTGAAAGACAATACTGTGAGAGAACAAGGGCCTTCTTCCCTCTAGAACCATGTGGATCTATGAATACTGGTCTAGGTTCTCTTCCTGCCTTCCTGTTTCTTCTCCATTTTAGGTGGAGGGAGAGTGGTGGGCCTATGTCTGGGTTTTGAAGCCAGTCAAGCATTTATGTTCCAGAAATATGCAGTAACCTTCAGGATCTAGCCTAGAGGTAGCTGAGACAAGGGCTTATCCAGCCTGGAAGCTACATTCCAACATGAACTTGGTAGAAATTGAGAGGAGGTAGGATAAGGAGAGAGTGTGCCCCTAAGTTGTGGCGGGAAATAGTTGTACTTTTGTCATATATCTTTGAAGTAAATATCTCTTTTGTAAAATCTGATTGATGCTAACTGGTTAAATGGAACTGGGATTTTTGGCACTGGCACCTAACCGTGGGAAGATAACACCAGTCAGAATTCAAGCTGAAAACATTAGAGAAAAGACACCCCTACTCCTTAGGGTACTCTAGAACCCTGATGGGGAAGATGGATCCTGATTCTGAAACAGTGAGGCCACAGAATACTTGCAACACAGTCAAACTGACCCACCTGCTATTCCTCAAACTCAGTGTTCTATCTCTTGCTTCCATTACTTTGCACAGTGCATGGTAGCAAAACTTTGCATGATCTTGATTTTCAGTATACAGTGGGGCCTCACGATCCTTCTTGACTTCTGGGATTTTAAGCAGGAGATATCAGAAAAGCTAGTCTTGGAACCCTTTCTCAAAAAGTAAATTTACTCTCTTTTTAATTGTATCATTTAGGATTTTTAATTTCCCTCATATGATATTCCTATGAGAAGCCTTTCCTGATGCCCTCAGTTCTTAAATCTTCTCTGTCTTCAAATTATGCTGTATTTACTTATGTGTTTATGTGATGTTGAATGTAAACTCCTTGAGGAAAAGAGAATAATATTTCTACTAGAAAGGGTAGAATACCATAAAGAGAATCAATCAATCAACACGTGGTACAATGTAGGACACTTCCAATCAAAATGGCTGTATAAATGGAAGCAGACCATCCCAGATCCTATATACCTATTTTAACAAAAACCTGAACTTTATACCAGACTGAATAATGATCAAGAACTCCAATAAGAAACTATAGTAAGTAGGTTCTTCTATGCCAGAACTGCACAAAAAGTTAACCAGAAGCCTGTGAGGAATAGGAAAGGGAGGGGGGTAACAGCAGCAAAGCCAGTGCCAGCATAGGCAAATAGGCCTCCTAGCATGATGGGCCATGGGCCAGAGACACTTATAGGTAGGACAGTTGCCCCAAGAAAGATGCATGGTGGCCAAAAAGCCCCATAGTAAGGACCTTAGAAGCCACAGAATGATAGAACCAGTACAATGAGACAATACTTGGAGCATGATGGTTCCAGGGTGACTAAGACACTCCAGGCCCAGGAACTCTGAAATCCCTATAACTCTGTCCTCCAGCTCTGATTCTGATTCTTCAGACTTCAACACCATGTCTGAGCTGCCTTATCACTGTGGAAATTCCTTCAGTACCTGTGACCTTCTCACCCTGGAACATCCTTGTGCCTTCTTCTCCCATTGGTAAGTTCTTCTCAGGACTTCCATTTTGTAGAAGGAATCAGGACAATCATCTTCTACTCTTCTCCCAGTTCTGCTTCTGATTCTCTGTACTTTGCCACCTCCCCCCCTAAAAAAATCCTTTTCAACTCCCTTTTATGTGATGCCTTTCTCCATTAAAATATAAGTTCCTCAAGAGCAGGTATTGTCTTTGTTTTTGCTGGCATTTACATCCCAGCACTTAGCAAAATTCTTGGCATAGGTATATGCCAAGCATTTAACAAATCTTTATTGATCTGACCTGACATGAAATGCATTGCAGGGCCTTAAAACCCAGCACTCTGAACCTCCAAGATCTAGAGGGGCCTAACCTAACCCAGGTGAACCAGGGTGAAACTAAGCAGGGTTGTCCACCCAAAAATGCAGCAGGGGGCATAGACTCATCCTGGCACAAAGCCCTAATTTAGGAAATAAAGCTAGAGAGATAAGTAAATCAAAGAAGACCCCAACCAGTATTAAGAAAAAAATATCATAGAGATTCCCTCCTCCCCAAAATGAAGAGAGCAACTGTATTACAAGTACAAGACAAAACAAAAAGGAAAAAAAATGGATTTACTGCAAGGACTACAGAAATGCTTAGAAAAAATGAAGCAAGAGATAAAAAATAAAAGCTCTAGAGGAAAGAATTGGAAGGAGAATAAAGAGTTGAAAAGAGAAAGTGGTGAAACTTATACAAATAATAAGCCCTTTAAAATCTATAATAAGCCAAACAGAAACCAATGAGTCTGTGAGACAAAAAAAAAATCAGAACAAATTTTTTTTTTAAAAAAATTGAAGGAATAGAAGAAAATGTGGTATATAATATTAAAAAAAACTAGAAAATACATCAAGGAAAGATAATTTAAGAAACACTGTCAAATGAAAACCATGATTAAAAAAACCCTGGCTACTATATTTCACATCATGAGTGAAAACTGACAGAACTATTAGAATGAGAGTGCAAAATGAAGATAGAAAGAATCCATTGATCACCTCCTGAAGGAAATGCCAAAAGCAAAAGTCTCAGGAATGTCATAGTCAAAATCAAGAGCCCCTTTGTCAAAGAAAAAAACATTATAAGAAGCCAGGTACCAAAAAAGAAGTCAAAATTAACATAAGACTTGGTAGCTTCTACTATAAGCCAGAGGAGACCTTGGGATACATATTCCAAAAAAGCAAACAAGATAGGCTTACAACCAAAAAATAACTTGCCCTGCAAAGCTGAGTACAATCCTACAAGGAAAAAAAGTTGAAATTTCATGAAAGAGAGGACTTTCAAGCATTTCAGATGAAAAGAATAGAGCTGAGTAGGATCTTTGAAATACAAACAAAAAAGTACAGAGGAATCTAGAAAAGTAAATTGATATGAACAACTGAAAGGGGTGATACAATAATGTAATGCTAACATTCTAATGCAGGGAAATGAAACAAATGCCCCTACAGAACCTGAACGTCTTCAAAAAGTATTGAGGAATTTAAATAGGAAAGCAAGAGAAAACATAGAGGTGAACTGGTTCTGTTCTGAGGGTTTGTAAAAGGGAAATAGGAGCAAAATAATAGTTGAGGAGTTCTACCTTTTCCCCAACATCTGTTGTATTTATCCCATCCATCTAAAATGCAGTTCTATCCCTCCTCTGATCCTTCACTTTTT